CTGTCCTCCGTATATGCCACCTTCTGTATACGCTACCTCTTGTATAGTCTGCCACCCTCCTGGGTGCGCTACCCTTCTGTGTAAAACTGCTTATGTTAATGTTGCATACTAAAAAAAGTTTGAGTGACTGGAGGGCTTAAGTAGAGAACTTTTCTTTGGAGCAATTTTGCCACAGGCTAAGTCTCTCCATAGGGTGATTTGGAAAATGGACTCAAATGTGTGGTCTTTGGAGCCTGACAGCTTCTACCAGTTGGAGTGTTTCAGTTGTGGTGAAAGGAGGAGCAAATCATCTACCCCAACTCATTCCTCTTCCCCCAGTGATAGAGTTGGGGGAGATTTGACTGCCCAGGTAAAGACTGACCTCCCAGCACCCACTGACTGATCTTGCAGCCAGGTGTGGCCATGAGACAGCTCTATCCCAAGAAATGGGAGCTGGTCTGGGTATGCAGTGCCCACCTCACCTGTTCGGGAGGAAATCCCTGGCTCTGGCTATGGCTCTCCCTTCTTCCCACTGGCTGGGGTGGTCATGAGCAGAGAGCCCCTGGAAGCCATAGGGAGAACACTGTAGGGTCATCTTCAGCTTTGATCCCTGAGTGACTGAGTGGAACAGAACCACCCACCAACTTGGAATACCGGCTATGAATTTTCACAGGAGAAAGACATATACTTCATTGTTCTCGTAGTCATTAAATCTTAGGAGTCTCTGCCATAGCAGCTTAGCCTACCTTTATTTATTATTATTATTATTTTTTTTTTGAGTTGGAGTCTCACTCTGTCGCCCAGACTGGAGTGCAGTGGCCGCTCCCGGCCACCGCAGCCTCGACCTGCTGGGCTCTGGCGATCCTTCCGCCTCAGCCTTCCAAGTAGCCGGAATGACAGGCATGTGCTACTACACCCGGCTGATTTTTTGATTTATTGTAGAGATGAGGTCTTGCTGCCCAGGCGGGTCTTGAACCCGTGGGCTCAGGCAATCCGCTCACCTCAGCCTCCCAAAGGCGTGGGATTACAGGCTGAGCCACCTAGCCCAGCGCTTACCTTTATTATTAATTGCAAGCTATAATAATCCACTCTGGTTATGTTTAAGAAGGGAATAGATGGAGAGTGTTTCACTGGTAAAGGACAGACTGAGAACCAGATTCAGAAACATGTTTGTTAAAAAATGTCCCCTTCTTCCCCGCCCCCCCCTCCTTCCTCCCCTTTTCTTTATTTTTCTTTTATTGAGTCAGGATCTCACTCTGTCACCCAGGCTAGAGTGCAGTGGTATAATCCTGGCTCACCAAAGCCTTGAACTTCTGGCCTCCTGAGCTGTTGAGCCTACTGGTGTGTGCCACTATGTCTGGCTAATTTTTAAACTTTTTTGTAGAGATGAGGTCTCTCTATGTTGCCTCACCTGGTCTCAAACTCCTGGACTTAAGCAATCCTCCCACCTCAGCCTCCCAAAGTGCTGGGTTTACAAGCATAAACCACTGTACCCAGCTGTCTAACCTTTTTTATTTGCATGTCTCTTGCTCAAGATTGAATTCCAGAGAGACATAGAGAGAGCTTTCTGTTGGACCGACTCCAGTCATGTGTCCACTTCTTGGTGATGGAAAAATGCTGTTGACTTCAAGTCCACCTCAGTTGCACAGAATGCCAGAAGGTGGGTCACATAAAAAAACCCAGGATAGGTGAGATTGGATGCAGGAAACAAAAGTCACCAACTGTGCACCATAATTCAGAACCTAGGTTACTAACTGTTTCAGTTAGTTTGCTGGATACTGTACCTCAAAAAGTGTGTATGCTAGACACATAATGTAAATAAGACACATATTATGCATAATACATATATGTCTATACACATTATAAATAAGCGTTATTATAAATATTATACACAGACTGTGTGTACCCTTATCTTAAGCAGGTTTTATTTAGCCCAATTCACAGTGCATGTGCTTACCATGGGGAAAATTATGGCTTTTCTCCTTTCATCATGGTAGAAATATTATTAAGTATAAATCTGCAGCAAAGTATCTTCGGAAATCAAGTGTTATGTTTATCTCTGCGTAATGAGGCTGTCAGTGTAACCTGTATTTATTGAGCCACAAGTAGGTTATAAAACTTTCATTAATGAATGTAAGTAACTCAGTTGTCATAAACAAAGGATGAAATTAGCATTTGGTTCAGAACGTGTGGAACAAGCTGGATGCATGCTAAGAGCTGCCTTAATGGTTCCAAAGCCCTTCCACTTACAGCTCTGAGATTCATGGTTCCAAATTTTAACCCAACACAAACTGCATCCAGGTAATAATATAGGTGTGTCTTTAAGGAATAACTACTCAGTTTATTGTCATACTTGGGGTCCACACATGGATGCCTCGTCTCCAATATTTCTACAAATACCACTTCTCCAATTCAGAACGTCTCAAACATGCCCTAGAAATGTGTCTTCGCTTATGAAAATATATTCTGTGTTTATGAAAGACACTTCCCAGTGTCCTGTACTAAATTCCAGAAGTTTTTCTCATAAATAATGCTATAAATTATTGCTTCATGTAGCTACAGTTGAATTATGTTAGCAACAAATGTTGGTTACTTCAAGGGTTAAATAAGTCACTGTGTCCTTTCCTAAGAACTTAAAAACGATTCCTGGGGGAAACAAGGTTTGAATTCTAAATAACCTACTTATGAATACAATTTCAGAAAAACATAAGCCCATTATATATCAGAAAAGGCCTACGTACTGATATCTCTTGTATAATGAAAAGGTTGTCACAGCCAGGTTGATGACCTATTTATTTAAAGCAAAGTTGATTCAATAAAATTCCATGGCCCAGTAATGGGACAGCCTTTAGAATTCATCTTAATATAATAGCCGCTGTCCACAGCAGCTTGTACTCTTGTTCACCACCACATATTGGTTGCCTATGATTTAATCGAGTTTGTACAAGGCAGGAATTGTTACCTATCGGCCTGAGTATTTCACCTGAGAATGCAGAAGGTCAGATGACTTTTTGGCCTGTGCATATGCAACTTCCATTTTATAAATGACTGCATCCAAAATGTTTCCTTGCAGAGTGATCATTTAAGACACAAAGCATGTATTTTTTTCCCCTGTAAGGAAATGTTACACATAATGATCACTTTCCAAAAAATGCTAACTCTAGCACCCAGGGCCCCACCTAAGAAGTAGTTTTTCCTCTCTTTGTATACATTCAGATCAATATGTATGCCAGGGGTTCCTAAGACCACCCCCAGATTCGCCAAGTCACTAGGAAAACTCACAGGACTCCACATAGAGTCATCATCTTGCTAAGATTTATCACAGCCAAAAAGTATCAAACACAATCAGCAAAGGGAAAGGCATGTGGGGAGAGAGCCAGGCACAAGCTCCCAAAAGTCCTGTCCTCATGGAGTTACATAGGACATGCTTAATTTCTCCATCAAATAGTTGTGGAGTGTTATCCACAGGAAAGCTCACCTGAGCACCGCAGTTCAGGGCTTTAGTGGAGGGCTGGTCACCGTGGGTGCCCTCTGTGTAGCATGCCTGCAAATTCCAGATTCCCAGAAGAAAGGCAGGTGTCCACTGTAAATTCCATTGTTTGTACTGTCTAAGCACCGTAAGCACCTCTTACGATGGAATGGGGGAAGCCCTCCCCACATCCGAGTTCCCAGACATCCTTGCAAGCAGACTTTTCTAAGGAGGGCAGCCTTAGGCCTGTTATGTTCATTCTTTTCTGTACATTATGTTGCAGCATGGTCCTACCTCCGTTGTCCTACCTGCCTTGTGGCTAGGAGCCATGAGCCGAGTGAGAGCCCAATTTCCCATCTGCTCAGTGAACCTCAAAATAGTACTACCCTCACAGGAGGTTTGTGAGAATTAAATGAGATAAAATTGTAATTACTTCAGAAGAGTGTCTGGTTTGAGGTAAGTAGCCGATAAGTATTAGTAATGATAATGGTGAGAAAGATAAAAATGACGGTGATGACAATGGCGATATGGTGACGGTGATGATGAAGTTGAAGATGGTGGTATGGTGATGGCCATGACAATAACGGTGCTGGTAGGGCAGAAAGAGGAAACAGCCGAAGTCAGACCTGTTCACATTTCTGTTCCTCCGTCTGCCTATGGACCATAATTATTCCCTAACCCATCTGCACCTCAGCATCCTCATTTTGAACTTGGATCATTGCTGGGAAAATTAGATAATATAGATGAAGTGTCCATCAGTACCTAAGAGATGTTCGAGGAATGGGCATTCTTAGTACAGACTTTACTTTTGTACTTTTAATTTATTTCCCTTTTTTACTTATGTTTCTCAGTCTAAGCATTTTTTTTTTTTTTTTTTGAGTTGGAGTCTCACTGTCGCCCAGACTGGAGTGCAGTGGCCGCTTCCGGTCACTGTAGCCTTGACCTGCTGGGCTCTGGAGATCCTTCCGCCTCAGCCTTCCGAGTAGCTGGAACTACAGGCGCGTGCTGCCACGCCTGGCTAATTTTTTTGATGTATTGCGGAGATGAGGTCTCGCCTACCCAGGCGGGTCTCAAACCCGCGGGCTCAGGCAATCCACTCACCTCAGCCTCCCAAAGGCGCGGGATTACAGGCTGAGCCACTGAGCCCGGCCGGTCTAAGCATTTTCAAGTGGCTTCAAACCAAAACCAAAAGCCACTTGAAAACCCTTAGACTGAGAAAACTAAGTAAAAAAAGGGAAATAAATTAAAAGTGCAAAAGTAAAGTCTGTAATAAGTTTGATTTTAATTAAAGAAATAAGCTGACGCAATGATACTCTGTTTCCTTATGTAACTCATGTTTTTGTCAGTGTACAATCACTAGCTCATTTGTGAAAGGAACAACTGAAAAAAATTAGGGCAGATGGATTGGGAGGCAATTGCGAATTTGTGCTAAAATCCCATTATGCATGAGCTTACACCTGCAAGGCCACCATGTACAATTATGTTCTCAGAAGCAGCAGTGACCCAGGGATCCCCCAGAGCTGACTCTGACATGCCCTTATGTCTCCAACAGGGCCAAGGTGAAGAAAGGTGTGAACATCATCGGCGTGCGAGCCAGCAGCCCTTCCATTTGGGAAGTCAAGGAGCGCAGGGATTCTACTGGGAAGTATACACCAGCTGTCATCGTTTGTCAGAAGAAATCTGCTGGCTCGGAAAACAGGTGAGTCCCAACGGCCTCCAACATATTCAGATCAGCTGCAACTGTGGCCTGTTAGATAGCTAACAACCACCTCTGTTGTGGTTTGCATTTGGTGTGTGTCATCTGCGTTATCAGGGCCTCCAGGTAAGATGGATGGATTCCTTCATTTGGGAAAGGCGGGCTTGGGCTGTTATTCACAGTGGACCCACTTAGAACCACAGCACAATCCCGTGCCACCTGCAAGGACAGCTCCATGCAGATGGAATTTATCCATATGTGATGTTCTGCTTCGACATGACCTCTTTCCAGTCTATATTATTAGGTGACATGAAAGTCTGGGCATCTCTCATCAAATGGCCCATTTTGCGAATGTTAAGAAGCAAGGGTGCACCGCTCTTTCTACACACAGGGGTGCAGTCCACATTTGCAGTGTGGATTTAAATATCAATGCATGTCATTGTATTCCCATGCAGGCACTTTCTGAGGGCACAGTGAACTCTCTGCTGTGGAATTGCTGGGAATTGGGCAGTACTCTGGGGAGAAATTAAAACCTGAATCTGTCTCTGATATCCACCAAATTAGAAACAATCAATTCACGGCTGGGCAGAGAGAGACTTGGGAACTCAGTAGTTCTTGTTTTATTACACTTTTCTCAAAATCTCGTTTGTGGCTCTGGAGAGTTCCTTGTCTGGTCACATATTTTTATCACTTTTAGGTGGCTTTTTGCTCTTTATATTACTGAAAATTTGAAAAATAATAAGAGGACAAATTCAGGTATGTAGCACATTATTTCTGGAGTGCATTTTAAAACTTCATAGCTCAATGTTTGGAGATACACTTCTTTTCCGTTCTTTATTTTAATATTGAGGTCATGAATCTCAGATGATAACGATTACAGGTTTTTTTGGTTTATTACCAAGGAGTAACTGAAACCAATTTGGAGATGATTTGCTTTGGATTCCCTTCCGGGCTCCTCTCAACACGGGGTTTGAGAATCTGGGTTATCAGCAGCTCTGATGTATGTTCCTCCTTTTGTGACTGTTTGAAGATTGTTTTTTTCTTCAAGATTTGCTTGTAGAGAAAATGAAAGGAAAAACAGAAAATCTGTATTTGAGTTCTTCCCTAAATGTTTATGTAGAATAGTGCGCTGCTCTGGTTAGCTTGATGAACTTACAAATATGCACACATTTAAATACGTCTATTCCAGGAGTATAATTTGGGAAATAAGATGCTACTTCGATAAAAGCTTTCTTTTGTGTCTTGTAGTTAGCAAAAATTAGGATAGCTAGACATATGGATGGATAGACAGCTGAATGGATAGGTCGATAGCCAAATGGAGGGATGGATGAGTGGGGGGGGGTGGATGGATAGATGAGTAGATGGATGGATGGGTGGACGGATTGATGAACAAATGAAAGGATGGATGTATGGATGGATAGGTGGATGGATAATTGGACAGGAGGACAGATAGCTGGATGAATAGATAGATTGATAGACAAATGGAGAGATGGATGAATGGTAGGTGAGTGGATGAATGGGTGGGTTGGTGGATGGATGGGTGGGTGGATGGATCGATGGATAGACAGACAGATTAATGGAAAGATTAATGAACAAATGGAGGGATGGATGGCTAGGTGGGTGGATAGATGGATAGATGGATGGTTGGATAGATAGGTGTATTCTTTACCAGAAGAAGCAGATAAATTTGGTGGAAAGAATCTCAACAAAAGCCCTTTTTTTTTCCCTCTTGTGCTCTTTTTTTTTTTTTTTTTTTGCTATTTACTCTTATGGATTAGTAAAAGTATTGGTTGTCGTGTTATCTGAAATGCTGAGGGATCTGAAGTACTATCAAACATTTATTTTTTTCATTGTTGAGTTTCTGACTAAGAATTAGTTTTGCTCAGCTTGGGCATGGAGGGGAAGTATGGACTGTCCAAGGGTAGCTCCTTCCCTTTAATATATAAACTGCCTTTTTTATGGACCCAAGGACTTCCAGAATCTCAGCAAGTCTAGAGCATTTCCAAGTACGTGCTTGCCACTTGGTTTTCTTCCATATCAGTATCTCCTTTAAGAAACAAGTACGCTGAGTAAAATATTAAGTCAATCCCTTTAAAAATTCTGACATCAATAATGACATTCTTATGGGGCATCTTCCTTAGGTCTTTGTAGATTCTGATACCTGTTTCCTGCTTCATTTTTTTTTTTTCCTGGACAAATGGAGGAATGAATGGATGGGTGGATGAGAGGATGAGTGGATGCGTGGGTAAGCCAGGATCTGTTTCCTACTATGGGTTCAAATGATGGAAAAATCTGATGCACATGTATCTGGGTCTGCAGTATGTTATCTATGTATGCACATAGAACATATGTGATATAGGTATGTAAATACATGCATTTAGATACATGTATATTTTATATGTGTTTTCTGTATACATCTACGTGTTGATTTGGGGATTTTCCACTACAGCCAGCAAGGCTTTGCCTGACAAGAAAGCTCTAGAACAAAACTCCTGTAGTCTGGGAATCAAGTCTTGTTTGTTTCTAACCCTTGCAGCAAATGCCTGGTGCATGTTAAATATTTGTGTGCTGACATTCTGGACCACAGCTATATTGCTATATGTGTTATGATACAAATCTGTATGTACACATGTTGAATGGTTTCCAGTATACCTGTTCAAAACATAAGGTGCATAATGCTTGTATAATGAAGCTCCATTTGGGAAAAACACAGAGACAGGTATCTTTATGAGCAGACCGTGTCCCAGGGAGAAGCACGAAAGACTGACAGCTGAGATTTTACTGGGCACAGCTGGGAAACTGAGAAGGAGTTTGAGTGTAAATTACTTTTTTACAGTCAACCGCTTGTATGGTTTGATTTTTTTTTTTACTGTGTGTATGCATCACCTATTTAATAAAATATATACAATTTTAAAATATATTTTTGAATATGACCTATTCATTTGTACATTTAACTTTTTTCCTCACTATAAAACTCTCCATTTTACTTCCGTCTTCAAGGAATTAAATAAAGAAAAATCATTCTCCATTATATCAGATAGTGATGGACTGGGATGAGGTCTGTTTTTCTTATGGATAATTGGAAATTTTTTTACAGAAGGGATGTTTTAATAATGTTTCAGAATCTGTTTTGCTTTATAAATTCCTCCTAGTTTCTGACTGTTTTCCAGTTATTCTTAAAAGTCAGAATCTGATCATCGTTTGCAAAAGAGGCCATCTTAATTAACTTAAGAGTCATAGATTTTTGTATTGCTAATATTGTAATTTACCATGGATCAGAAAGTTGCCTTAATGAAGTTAATTCACTGTGACAGGTGTATGGATTAAGGAGACACTTTTGTACTAGTGATGAACTCAACAGGAGAGAGAGGAGATCTCTTATCTGAGTTGATTGTGTCCTTTCTCATTTGAAGAAGTTTGGTTGCTGAGAGTCTTATCATGCCAGTATTAACATATGAATGTTATCACAGCTATCAGCTCTGTTTTGACTAAGCATCACCAGCAAATATTATGGAACAGAAGCAGAATAACTAATTATGGTGTGTCATAAAGTTGCATTTTGTGTCTTCAGATTTTCTGCTCACGATTGCTCTGTCAACCTAGATAAGTATGTAACAAAAGGCTGCTTACTTGCGGATCTCTGCATGGATGAGTGTTTCCTAGAACCTACCACAGTTGATACATGCATGGTTTCAGGTGACACGTAAAAATGAGATTAAATAAATTTGAGGCCAGGCTCGGTGGCTCAGCCTGTAATCCCAGCACTTTGGGAGGCTAAGTGCCTGAGCCCGTGGGTTCGAGACCAGCCTGGGCAACTTGGTGAGACCTCGTCTCTACAATAAATCAAAAATTAGCTGGGTGTGATAGCGCGTGCCTGTAGTTCTGGCTACTTGGAAGGCTGAGGTGGAAGGATTGCCAGAGCCCAGCAGGTTGAGGCTGCAGTGGCCAGGAGCGTGTCACTGTACTCCAGTCTTGGTGACAGAGTGAGAATCCAACTAAAAAAAAAAAAAAATTAAAAAAAAAATAAATAAATAAACTTGAATAACCAAAACGGACATTTATTTCAGTTCTCCAGCAAGTTCTCTCCTGATAGAAGAGAAGTCTGTCTCTTGTAGGGACTATTCTGTCTTTAAAGCCTCTACCCTTTGCTAATCGATTGTAGACAGGCAAGCATACATAGCTAAATTTAATCTATTTTTCATGCTAATCATCTAGTTATTCCATGCGATACTGATTCTCCGGTCATTGAAATTACATGTTTCAATTTAGAACAAATAGGTTTTAAGTAATAACATGAACTGCCATAAATGAAAGGTAATTTATATTTCAAATATGCACAGATGTGATTAAAATCATGACTATACTGAAAATGAGGGTAGGCCAGCATCAGTAAACAAATCTCAAACAATGTTTATTAGGATTAGATTAGATTGATTTTTTGGTAAGTAAATAGAATATCTCAAACAAGATAGAAGTTTATTTTCTCTCACATAAAAGAATCCATGCAGTAGATGGCCAGGGCTGGTATGGCATCTCTCCAGAACCACTAGTATCCCATTGGTCCCAGGCACCAATGTTTCTTCAATACTATGCCAATGCAAAGCTTATATCCTCATATGCTAAGATGACTGCAGACGTGCCAGTCATTGTATCAGCATTGCAGACAAAGGAAAAGTGACAGAAAGGGTCTTCTTAGCTGGATCAGCTCTCATTAAGCAACCTTCCTGGAAACTCCTGCCAACTTCACTTCTCCCTCATATACTTCCGTGATAAGAACTTAATCAATGGCCATGCTAGACTTCAAAGGAAAACGGGAGACATCATTTATTATAGGCAGTGTGCCCAGTTCAGAATCAGTGTTCTACTCAAAAGAAAGAAGAGCCACCTGGATGAGCTGGGCAACCAGCATCTTTATTTTGGCAATGTATAAGGAATATATGTGTGGTATTTCTAACAGGGTGGTGAGAAAAGCATAGTATCTCACAGTCTCCTTCATTCTCCTG